TAGCAAATTTTTATAAATTTTTATTTGATAATAAATTTAAAAAAAAAACATGGCATACCATGGAATAGGGGTTGGTTAGTTGTGGCAGTCCAGCAACACCTATATTAATGTTGCCGACCATGATGCCGGCCTGCGGTCCCTTGCCAAACTGTACAACTCCCTGCACCAGCAGCCACAGTTCTTAGACTAGGACAATATCCAAGCCCAGGTCCCGCGCTAGCGTTGGGAGCTCCTTGGTTGCAATGACGCCGCGTCCTAAATTACTATTAACTTTTGATGAAGGGGGAACACACCGCCGACCATTCCGCGGAGTGAGTGCTCCATGCAGGATGTCCTGTTTACCCAACGCTCAGTGCGCAGAGCAACCCTGGACGTCAACAAGTCGAATGGGCTGGATGACATCCCTCCTATTGTGCTGAAGACGTGTGCTCCGGAGTTGGTATCGGTTTTAACGCGTCTTTTTCGGAACTATTACTCCTTCGGCGTAGTCCCAAAATCGTGGAAGACAGTCATCGTGCACCCGATCCCTAAACAAGGTAACCGCTCTGATCCGTCCAACTATAGGCCTATCGCCATCACCTCCTTGTTCTCCAAAACAAAGGAGTCCATTGTAAACTGCCAGCTCATGAGGTAACTTTAGGATCTCCAGCTAATTAGTGATCGCCTATACAGTTTTCGTCGTGGTCGATCAGCTGGTGATCTTCTGATCTACCTAACTCATAGATGGGCGGAGGCAGTAGAGGGTTTGGCACAAAGCGCTTTCGAAGCTCCCTTCCTATGGGCTTACCGAGAAATTGTGCAATTAGATCACCAGCTTTCTTGGAGATTGGAGCATTAAGGTCGTAGTAGACGGTGCAAGCTCTGATTACAAGCCCATTAACGCTGGTGTTCCGGTAGGCTGCGTGCTATCACCAACGCTGTTTCTTCTGCATGTTAATGATATGTTGCGAACCGGTAACATTCATTTCTATGTAGATTACAGCACTGGTGATGCTCTGTACACCAGCTGTGCCAATATTTCTCGGGAAAACGCCTCCGAGTACCGGGACAAACTTCTGTCTGAAGTCCAGTCTTTGCTGAACAAAGTCTCGGATTAGGGGCGACTAAATCTAGTCCAGTTTAACTCTCAGAAGACACAAGTTTGCGCGTTAACCGCTACGCACTATACTCCCCTTATTGTCTCAGCCAGAATCGGACTCCTCGGCGTCGATATATCGAGTGACGTGCAGTTTCGTGGACACGTGATGGTCATTTTCATCAATAGATTCCTTAAATTTATAATTAGCATTTTTATACAATCTTTTTTAATAAAGTTTTTGAGCTTTGCAGTGGAAAAATATTGAGGATTTCTTTTTTTTCTTAGGTCTCTTAATTTTTACAATTACAATACAATTACAATTGATGAGAAGAATAAATATAATTTCTGTGTCAGTCAAGTTTTCCCGTAGCAATTATCATACGACACTATGATATTAATATTATTATTATTTATACGTAGCACTAAAAAAGTCCATACAGCTTAATCGTTCTTTCATCTTTCATGATAAACGTTGTGCCTTTAATCGCGTCGACCCATACAACTCCATTTTTTTATTTCCTTCGAGGAACTTTTGACGAACTTATCCATTACAAGCAACGTTGCAAAATAATGGACTTCGTATTCTTGGCTTCGGTAGCGATCATAGTTTAGGCAGGGTAGAGGAATTAAAAATGTGCGATAGCCACCAAGAGGTTCGGTTGCCACCTTCGACGACTCGATCTATTTAGCAACATTTGACGCGTGCTATATAAACTGTCTGGAAGTGTTGTCGGGAAGTCCTTTAAAAATTATGTGGTATCTTCTAATTATTCTCTATTGTATTAAAATGTAGAAACCTTAACTACAATGAATCCATGTCCGCAGTTTTTTTGCAAGATAATACACGAAGCACTTACTGCCGTAAAATGGTGGGAAATATTATATTCAAAATGCATCTGATAAATTAGTTTTAGCAAAAAGTATTAACATTGCCAATGCATCGGTTCTGTATTTACAAACCCTGTGTGGTAACTTTTTGAAATCATTAAATAAATAAAGACTGATGTCATTTCATAAATTTATCCGAAATGGGATATATTGGCAATGGATTGTAAGTAGGGTGTCTCAGTAGGGTTTCTGTTTGTTACATTTTACTAGATAGCAGTTTTTGTTTTCTGAGTAGGTACCACCATCTTACCTATTTCTGCCGCCAAATGGTAGTGACTAACCTCACCTCACCTAAATACAAAACCTTACTGTTCCTATACTATGCAGTTGCTTTTTCATAATTTTAAATAGTGCCAAATATCTAGAGGTGTTTTTATTTTTTTTATTTAACTGGCTTTACAGCTCTGGGTACTAGCCATTCTGAGCCTATAATTTCTTTCAGAATCTTCATTTTATATAGTTTTTCTTCACAATATGCTGATGCGTCATATTGCGAAGTTTTTGGGAGATTTTAACGACAGCTCAAGCTAGCGGACTGTTGATGACGACAGTCACTTAAGTTCATAAGGCGCCCAAGCGATCAAAATAACTTGAGGATTATATCAACATCAAAGCATTTGTTTCGCCGTTTTCTCTAAAAGTTCACACGCGCAGACACATAATTCACAAAATCACATCACTTTTACGAATTAAAATTCACTTCAAATCATTATTCAAGCGACAAAACAGGAGCGACAGTTCGTCGTCGGCCAAGTCCCGCCAAAACTCCCTACAGGTGTATATGCGGGGCAAGCACAGTTAATAAAATAATTTAAAAAAAAGTTGTGTCTGTTACTCTTGCCATAGCAGTTATTCTGCTTATTCGAGTTAAAGAAATGTTGTCCATTCCACTCGCACTACTGTGTTGCGCTCGACAATGCCACTATGCTTGCCTTGCTGCGGTGACAAGTTGTACAGATTATTTCTCATAAAAAGAGTTAATAATCTTGTTTGACAACTTTTGTTTAAACTGTTTTTCTGCAGACAGTTTTAAAAAAGGTAAAAAACTACCAGCAACGAAGTTAATGAAAAACCTAGTTGACCAGCTGTCTGAGGCTTATGCGCTTGCAATTTTTTTTTAATAAATAGGAATAATTTAACTTCTGGGCAATAGAATTTTCCATGGAAAAGATTCCAAGATATGACAGTCTTTCCTGACACAGGAGAAACTTTGGTACATTTTTAAATGTTTTAATGTACTAAAATTTCCTCTCCGTTTAGTGACAGTTATAGTACAGCTGTAGTGTATAGTCAGCAAGATACGAAGTGCTGTCTACACATTTGGGAAAAATATCACATTATGCCCGTCTGTTCAACTGATTTGCAAATCAACACAGGTTTTTTGATCTTTCATAAATTATTTTCATTTTGTATATAAAAATAAACACGTATCATAGAATTTTGATAGTTTAAGTCAAGTAACTAATGCACTTTTAATTGTATCAATCACAGCCCAAGCAGCATACAAGCTGTATACGAGTACTGAAGTTCCTAAAGTTTATACTAGAGATGAGAGAGATGCATTTTATGGCTGTACAAAAGCTGTATAAGCACTTATATAGTTCTTATAAGTAAAAAACTGGCTCAAATTATACAGCTTTATGCGTTAGTAGCGCTGTACAGTAGCTGTACAAGCATAAAAGAGGTAGTATAATAGCTGTATTACAGCTATTATTTGGTGTACACGGAAACTATTACGTTACAGATATTACCTTATAAGTATATTTTAAAGATTAACTTTCTAAATTGGTGTTTGAACGGAATCACAAATGAATTTATGACAAAAAGAACTTATTAGATGTATTTATAAACAATATTGAATGATGGCGACATTTAGTGAGTAAAAGATTATAAATTACATATTAACATTACTCGGATTGGAGTTGAGTTTTGACGGTGATAACTGGTGAATTGGAAGTGCAAAATTAGATTTACGGCACATTTGAATATGATTTCTATCAAAAAATTGCCGCGCCAGGAAAATAACGATATATAATAAATACAAAATCTACCACACTACAAATACGGTAAGTGAATATTTATTACTACAAAATACGGTAAGTAAATATTGGTTTTATAGGTTAGAATAAGAAAATAATTAAATTAGTGAGTATTAGTGCACATTGGGACACAACGATCATTAGTTAAATTGGAAATAATGGTATAGGCTAAACTGGCGACAGTTTGCTAAACAGCCTAAACGATATTTCGAGTGTCATACAGTCTTAGTAGCTGTACCATGTATATTATGGATTCTATCATACAGCCATTAGTTTTTAATCAGTTGTATAATAGAATATTTTTATTACTTACGCTGTATAGTAGTTTTTAAAACACCACATATTGTCTTTAGAGACACGTGTAAAAGATGAAAAACCTTTGTCTTGGGTACAATACTTTTATCCCTTCTTCACTTTATCTCATTTAAATAATAATATTAAGATGTAACCCCGTAATAATAATAATAAAAATAATATAAATAATCAAAGAGCGTAGGGAAGTGACGACCCCATCGCCCGCTGACGTAACGGTTATGTGACAAAACCGCTACGTCAGCGCATTCAGTCAGCACCTTGCCAAGAGGTGTTAGTGCCGTGCCTCGGCAAAAATTGAAGGTGCAAAGGCCCGCTTGTGCACATGGCCTCAACATGAAACGGCGCCGGGTCTGGGCGTCTCCCGCTAAATGACGCCCTAAAAATGGATGATGGAATTAAATAGACCGCGCAAAGGGCCGCTGCCTGGAGGTCGCCAGGGTGCGTCTGGAGCTGGCGCTGGACGCGGCAGCATGCGAACCGCCAGCCGAGAGCGAGGTGCTGCACGACCACCCAGCAGCCCCTCGCATCCATCATCCCCACCAGCTGGCTTGGTGTCGGCAGGGTCTTCGCGGGCCCAGCAATCGGCACCCGCCTCTGGTGGAGTACGCCGCATGAACGCATTGCGGGCGTATTTTAGGGCGAAAGGGGGAGAAACTGGATGTTTGGCGTATCGGGCTAGGATGCATCGTCTTTTTGCTGAGCTGGAGCCATCTTTAACCGTCACAGAGCAAAACCTGGCAGACCGAGTTCGGTATATCTTGCGCTCAAATATATTTGATGTCGCCGAACTCGAACGGCTACGACGTGAGGCTGTTCCCTCGTCGGATGAGAATGCTACGGCTGAGGATGCGGCGCCACAAATGGTAGAGCAACCCGCAAACGTGGATGCCGCCGTGAATACCCCAGTTGTGGTTGATTCAAACGATGATGGAACAGTTGCCCAGGAACTGGAATTAGAGCATATGAGGAGTACATTGGAAGAGGCGATTGTGGAAACGCGCAGTACGCCTCTCGAAAATCGACCGCGACTTCCCCGCATAGCCCTAAGCAAGCGGAATCGGGCTGTCGTGAGGGCTCTGAACCCAATGCTGGTGACCTATTTGGAAGCCAGCCGGGACCTTTGCGAGACGGACTCAATTCTTTTTGGCGCCGCGCTGGCAGTCTGCCGTATCATAGGCGCCAAGGTTTCCACGGCTGGACGCGCTACTGGCCATAGTAGCGCTATCCCAGCATGGAGAAGAAGAATTGAGGAACGTATCGCAAAGGCTAGAGCTCTCATCGGCAGACTGATATGCTTCAGATCAGCAACAACAGGCCAAGAATTGTGCGCACCGTCAGGATGGCGTTTGCTGGGACAAATGTCAGTTTGTCCCAGCCGGATATAACGCAAAAACTGACGGAGCGCATAGATGATCTGAAGCAGAGAATCGCTGCTTGGGGAAAGCGGATTCGGCGATATACCGAGAGGTCGACACGGTTCAACCAGAATCGTCTCTTCCAGAGTGATCAGAAGAGGCTCTATGAATCATTGGAGCGACCAATGGTAAGTGGAACGGGTCCAGCACCGAATCAGGCCGACACTGTAGCATTCTGGCGCGGCCTGTGGTCAGAGCCCGTAAATCACAGCGAGGGCCCTTGGACGGAAGTTGTGGCGAGTCAGTGTGCGGGTATTACGCCCATGGACCCCGTCATCATAACGCCGGATGACGTAGCTGAGGCGGTCCGTAGGGCCCCGAACTGGAAAAGTCCGGGGCTTGACGGGCTGCATCACTACTGGCTGAAGGGGTTCGTGGTGTGTCACTCTGTGCTCGCCCGACAGTTTCAAGAGGCTCTCAACCAGAAGTCGCTCCCAAGCCTCTTCACTACTGGGATCACTCATTTGGTTCCTAAAGACCAGGGTACCACAGACCCGAGCAAATACCGCCCCATCACGTGTCTACCGACCATATACAAGACACTAACATCCATTTTGAGCGCGAGAATCACTTGTCACCTGGACTCAAATCAGGTGATGTCGCGCGCTCAAAATGGATGTCGGGGCGGTGGTCGTGGAACCAAGGAACCACTCCTCATTGACGCGGTCATTGGCAAAGTAGTGAAACGCAACCGTCGGAACTTCTCCGCCGCCTGGATAGACTACAGAAAGGCATTCGACTCGGTGCCCCATACATGGCTAAAGAGAGTCCTCGAGCTGTACAAGATAGACTGTACAGTTAGAGACTTCCTCGAGCAGTGTATGGGGCAGTGGAGTACGATCCTTTGTCATCTGGGCGAGCGGATGATGGCTGCGGAGAACCACATAAGGATAAGAAGGGGTATCTTCCAGGGCGATTGTCTGAGTCCAATCTGGTTCTGCCTCTCTCTGAACCCTCTCAGTACCTTACTGGAGGGCTCCGGGAGGGGATTTCAGCTACGGAAAGATGGGACAAAAGTGACCCACCTTTTCTATATGGATGACCTCAAGTTATTCGCCTCCAGTCGCTCCCATCTTATGGAATTGCTAAACATCACTTGTGAATTTAGCAATTCCATTGGAATGGAGCTTGGGACGGATAAGTGTGCGGTCCTCCATGTTGAAAGGGGAAGGGTTGCTAACTCTGAGGGCGTAGACTTATCTATGCCCGTCAACTTAAGGACCCTTTCCGAGGCTGAAACATACCGATACCTGGGTATGTCACAAAACATCGGTATCGATGAGACTGGTATGAAACAGTCAGTTTGCGACGTGTTTTATGCACGCTTGACCAAAGTGCTTAACAGCCTTTTGTCCGGTGTGAATAAGGCACACGCATATAACGGCTGGGTCATGCCTGTCCTCATGTATACCTTTGGCATACTCAGGTGGACTCAGACTGAACTTAACGCCCTGGATAGAAAAGTCCGCACTACCATGACGTCCCATAGGATGCATCATCCGAGATCGTCGGTAATGAGGCTGTACTTGTCGCGGAAGCATGGTGGTCGTGGCTTCTTGAGCGCGCTCACCATGCATAATCGCGAAGTGTGCAGCCTCCGTGATTACTTCCTGGCGAGATCGGATGATCCATTCTATAAGGACGTCATTTCTTGTGATAAAGGACTTACCCCTCTATCCTTAGCCAACGAGCAATGGCAAGACCCGGCAGTGCAGAGCATTTCCGACCGGGAGACCGTATGGAAGGAGAAGGAGCTCCACGGGAGGTTCTACAAGGCTCTACATGAGCCTTTCGTAGACACAGTAGCCTCCCTCCACTGGCTACGCTTTGGTGATCTCTTCGGGGGAAACCGAGGGTTTTGTCTGTGCAATACAGGATCAGGTTATTAAGACCAACAACTATCGGAGATACATCCTAAAGGATGGCACCGTCGACATCTGTCGAGCTTGTCGCCATCCCGGTGAGTCACTTAGGCATGTTATCTCCGGTTGTTCGGCGCTTTCTAACTCTGAGTACTTGCACAGGCACAACCTAGTAGCCAGAATTCTACACCAGGAGCTCGCTCTGAAATACGGTCTCGTGGATCGGAAATTGCCGTATTACAAGTACTTGCCGGAAGCCGTGCTCGAAAGTGATCGCGCCAGGCTCTATTGGGACCGGGCCATCATCACAGACAGGACTATTCTTGCGAATAAGCCTGATATTGTGCTGATGGACCGGGCACAGTCAAGGATATTTTTGGTCGACATTACCATTCCGTATGACGAGAACCTCGTGAAAGCCGAAACAGACAAGCAAACAAAATATCTGGACCTGGCTCACGAGGTGACCGACATGTGGGGTGGTCTGCCGACCGAAATTATTCCTGTAGTCGTCTCTGCAAACGGGATAATCCCAGTCAGCCTCTCGGGTCATCTGAGGCGGCTGGGACTACGTGGCGGACCGCTCCAGGTTCAAATGCAGAAGGCGGTGCTCCTCGATACCGCCCGCATCGTCCGCCGGTTTCTTTCCCTTTCCCCCTAACCCTCGGCCGTTTGGTCTCTCCTGCCGAGGGCCTCCATCTGGTTGGGCTTTTATTTATTTATGTACTTTTATATTTATTTTATGTTATTGATATTTATGTATATTTATCTTTTAATTTTCATTTATAATTATATATTTATAGAACCCAACCAGATGAGAAAACTATATAGATACCCCATAATATAAATAATCAACATCTTATGGAATTGTTAAACATCACTTGTGAATTTAGCAATTCCATTGGAATGGAGCTGGGGACGGATAAGTGTGCGGTCCTCCATGTTGAAAGGGGAAGGGTTGCTAACTCTGAGGGCATAGATTTATCTATGCCCGTCAACTTAAGGACCCTTTCCGAGGCTGAAACATACCAATACCTGGGTATGTCACAGAACATCGGTATCGATGAGGCTGGTATGAAACAGTCAGTTTGCGACGTGTTTTATGCACGCTTGACCAAAGTGCTTAATAGCCTCTTAACCGGTGTGAATAAATCACACGCATATAACGGTTGGGTCATGCCTGTCCTCACGTATTATACCTTTGGCATACTCAGGTGGACTCAGACTGAACTTAACGCCCTGGATAGAAAAGTCCGCACCACCATGAAGTCCCATAGGATGCATCATCCGAGATCATCAGTAATGAGGCTGTACTTGCCGCGAAAGCATGGTGGGCGTGGCTTCCTGAGCGCGCTCACCATGCATAATCGCGAAGTGTGCAGCCTCCGTAATTACTTCCTGGCGAGATCGGATGATCCATTCTATAATGACGTCATTTCTAGTGATAAAGGGCTTACCCCTCTATCCGTGGCCAACCAGCAATGGCAAGACCCAGCAGTGCTTAGAATTTCCGACCGGGAGGCCGTATGGAAGGAGAAGGAGCTCCACGGGAGGTACTACAGGGCTCTACATGAGCCCTTCGTAGATACTGTCGCCTCCCTCAACTGGCTACGTTTCGGTGACCTATTCGGGGAAACCGAGGGTTTTGTCTGTGCAATACAGGATCAGGTTATTAAGACCAACAACTATCGGAGATACATCCTAAAGGATGGCACCGTTGACGTCTGTCGAGCTTGTCGCCATCCCGGTGAGACGCTTAGGCATGTCATCTCCGGTTGTTCGGCGCTTTCTAACTCTGAGTACTTGCACATACACAACCTAGTAGCCAGAATTCTACATCAGGAGCTCGCTCTGAAATACGGTCTCGTGGTACCGGAAATTGCCGTATTACAAGTACTTGCCGGAAGCCGTGCTCGAAAATGACCGCGCCAGGCTCTACTGGGACCGGGCCATCATCACACACAGAACTATTCTTGCGAATAAGCCTGATATTGTGCTGATGAACCGGGCACAGTCAAGAATATTTTTAGTCGACATTACCCTTATTTTTAGACATTATATTTATGTATATTTATCTTTTCATTTTAATTTATAATTATATATTTATAGAACCCAACCAGATGAGAAAACTATATACATATACCCCATATAAATAATGTGTAAAGTAGTGTGTAAATGCAGTGTATAGGCAGTGGAGTACGATCCTTTGTCATCCGGGCGAGCGCATGACACACAAGAATAAGAAGGGGTATCTTCCACGGCGATTGTCTGAGTCCAATCTGGTTCTGCCTCTCTTTGAACCCTTTCAGTACTTTACTGGAGGGCTCCGGGAGGGGTTTTCAGCTTCGGAAAGGATGTACAAAAGTGAACCACCTTTTCTATATGGATGACCTCAAGTTGTTCGCCTCCAGTCCCCCCATCTTGTGGAATTGCTAAACATCACTTGTGATTTTAGCAATTCTATTAGAATGGAGCTGGGAATGGATAAGTGTGCGGTCCTCTATGTTGAAAGGGGAAGGGTTGCTAACTCTGGAGGCATAGATTTATCTATATCCGTCAACTTAAAGATCCTATCCGAGACTGAAACATACCGATACCTGGGTATGTTACAGAACATCGGTATCGATGAGACTGGTATGAAGCAGTCAGTTTGCGACGTGTTTTATGCACGCTTGACCAAAATGTTTAACAGCCTTTTGTCTGGATATGGAAGTCGCCGCCGGAAGACCCAAAAAAAAACCAAAATTACTTTTATTAAGTTTAATTTTAAAGATATTACAATAAAAAGAACTAATACTAATTAAACAGCATCGTGGAGTTTCGTATATATTATAATACTGTCGCATGACGCCGCAGGCGTCACTGTAAATCAACGGCAGCTACATTTCCCATCAAGTTAGCAGAATTGCCTCGCTGCATTAGGTTTCTGGTAAGGTGGTGTCAGTGGACACCGCGTGCGTCATTGTGAGTCCACGGCGACCGAGTTTCCCATCAAGTCAGCAAAACTGCCTCGTGGAAACAAAGATGAAATGTTGTGTGGGAATATGAGGTTGCCGCGTAGTTCACGGTTTTGTAAGGGGCTTCCATATAGCACCTCCCCCCTGAGAA